AGGGAGCTCTGATAGTAAGGAGGTGTGCTGCAATCTCAACGGTGCAAGGTTCAAATTACCAACTGCTCCACAGGAAAAGAATGGACAGTCTCTTCCCGTGTGATTTACCGTCTCTAAAAATGTACTGTGAGTCAGTTCCAACTAGATTGCACACACAAGCCATCAGAGTTCCTTATCTTAGCATATACTAATACTGATTATGTGGCAATTAAAACCATCATTAGGCTTCTTTTCCACTGACTATTTTAGTAAACAAAAGTCTGCAGAATATCCCTTTTTTGCATGTCTACAAACAAAGGAGCTCTGGTGACAGAGAATAAGGCTACACGCTGCCAATGTAAAAACAGGCAGCTCAACTTCCAGCAGCTGTTCCAAAGGAGAAAGATGGGCAAATTCCTCTTACGTGATTTATAGCCTCTAAAAACTGACCGGAGAGCCAGCTGTGAGCAAGAGGATATTCAATGAAACATAACAACATTTTTCTGTTAAGGAACAAACATAAATGATTTAGGTTTTGCAGACCAGATGATTATGTCTGTTACAACTATTTAACTCTCCCACTGTTCTGAGAAAGGCGCCATTGACAGTACATAAACAGATAAAAAAGATTCTGTTTCAATAAAACTTTATTTACAAAAGCAAATGTCAGGCCTAATTTTAACTATGCATAGGTTGCCAGCCTCATAATCACACTGATATATCTGGCACAAAGCAAATACTTTTATATTTTGGAAAAAAATATTAATTCAGTATTAAGTAGATTTTAAAGTAGTCTTTAAAATTGTTATTCCATCTCTAATAGAAATTTAATTAATCAAATTTTTTAACCAAGTAAATGATAATTAGTACTAGAGAAAACATTTCCCATGCACAATCCTATTTAATGCTCACCACAGCTCCCAGATAGGTAGGTACTACTGTGTAATGTCTCCACTTTACAAGTAGCTAAGGCATAGAGAAATTTGATAACTTGCTCAAGGTTACATGCTATCTATTGGAAGAGCAAAAATTTGAAGCCAGAACTGTGGAATCCATGCTTTTATCCCCCACCCTATACTGTCTCCCATTTGGGGGGCATGCCAGGCAGCTCAGGTTACAAATAAACAGCACATTTATTAAGACAGAACGTGCATCTCAATATCAAGTTCATTTGTTCGCAACCTGTGAGGGATAATATTAAATGTTAACTAAAATAATACAGGCATCCCTGAATGATGCAAATGGTTAGTGGACTTCCTGATAATCAAAAGGCTGGAGGTTTGAATCCACCCAAAGACACTACAGAAGAATGCCTGGCAAACTACTTTCAAAATCTCAGCCACTGAAAACACTGTGTTGCAGAGCTCTATTATGACACACATGGAGTCTCTATGAGTTGGAATCAACTCAAGGACAACTCGTTTTTAAAACAATATCAAGGTAAGCTAATGACCCACCCATGCTGAGTAATTCTAAAGTAAGGGAAAGTAAAAATGGATTAAGAAACAGAGAAAGAAAGAAGGTGATAATATAAAGCCTGAAACAGAATTAAGTAAGCAAACAGAGAAACAAGAGCCAGACCCATTGGCATTCAGTCTATTCTGACCTACAGTGACCTTCCAGGACAGAAAAGAACAAATGTATAGAGTCGCGAGGCTGTATATGCTTATGGAAGGAGACGGCCACATTTTGCCAAATTGAGTGGCTGATAGGCATGAACCCGTGACCTTTTGACTAGCGATCTAGTGCTTAACTACTGTGCTACCAGAGCTCCTATTGTAAACTGAGGTAGCTGACTTGAGACTACCTTCCCTACCAAATGTTGGTTTATTACAACAAATAGTTGCTAAGCACTAGCTCTGTGCCTACTATTCTAGGCAGTGGAAATTAAAGAAACAGATTAAAATCCATATCCTCATGAAATATGCATCCTATGAAGATAAGACAAATGATAAAATGTTGTGGTTATTTGCCTTCAAGTAGGAATCAACTCAAGGCTGTCCCTCCAGTGGGTTATCAGAGGCTGTAAATTGCCTGCCTCATCTTTCTCCTGAGGAGTAGCTCGTGAACTCAAACGGCCTGCCTTTGAGTGGACAGCGTAACTCTTTATACACTAAGCCACCAGAGTTCCCTAATTATAAATAGTTGAGAAAAATCTAGAGAAGTAAAAATAACTCTGAGAAGGGTAGAGGAAATCTGTTGCTTAGAATTCTTTAAGTAATAAGAAAAGTATGTTATTCCAAAATGGAATGTAAAGTACGAATTTATCTGGAAACAGTAAAATGTTACAAGCAACTTAGTCAAAAGTGAAAATATCAAGCCATCTGTCAGTTTGTCATACTGTGTGTTATGATTTCAAATACAAGCATGGTTAATCATGGCTTTTGGATTTCAGAGGAGCTTCCAGACTAAGATGAGTTGACTAGAAAGCAGGACTTCTCATCCACTGCTGTAATAACTGGCCAGTGGAAAATGTATGAATGGCAGAAGAGCAATATCCGATACAGTGCCAGAAGATGGACCTCTCAGGTTAGAAAGCACTCAAAAGATGACTAAGTTAAGGGTGTTCTTCTTCAAGGAAAGTCTACATTATGATGTGAATGGAGAAAAACTCAGCCGATGGAAGTTGTCTTATGAAATGGGAAGCACACAGATTGAATTCCTAGACAGTAGGCAGCTAAAACCTTGGCCATTTTTTAATTTAAAAATCATGGGGTGGTCTAGGGGTTAGTCTGAAGGCAGGTGGAACAAATTCATCAGCTGCTTCTCAAGAGAAAGATAGGCAAGCTTTTCCATAGGATTTATAGCCTCTGAAAACCCACTGGAGTGTCAGCTGTGAGTCAGTTCCAACATGACCACAATGAGTTGTTTGCTGTTGTATGTCCTACTACTCTAGAAATGAAGAAGAGTGGCATCAAAAATAACATTTCAGTATGTATCCTGAAGTTCAATGTTGTCAGTGACAGGATAATATCCATAACCATACAAGGAATTCCTGTAAATATAACTATTATCCAAATGTATTCAACAACCAAAAAGTCAAAGATGAAGAAACGGAGGCTTCCTACCAACTTCTGTGGTCTTAGGTTGACCAAACATGCAATCAAGATGCATTAATAATAACTAATAATTGAAATGTAAATGTTAGACAAAAAGACAAAAGATGGATTCTTGAAAAATATGGTCTTGCTGATATAACAAATGAGAAATGAGATCACAGTATAGAATTTTGCAGTATCAACAACTTACTGATTGAAAATATATTAATAAACAGCAACTAAATAAGGAGACCTCACCATGGAATACATAGGAATGAAATCAAATACACCTGTGAAAAGAGACAATGGAGATATTCAGTGTCATCAATCAGAACAAAGTTGTGGATAACAAAGTTGTGGAAAAGAGCATCAATTGTCTATAAGCAGTGAAAACAAGTCCATGACAGTCTAAATAAGACCTCCAGTAAATACTACCAACCTATAAGGTGAGCAAACAATTCAAGAAACTGGCAGAAAACTCATCAACAACCTGCAATAAACAGGTGACACCTTTCAGAAAGTGAAGACTTGAAGCATTTCCTGCAGAAGTTTAAAGACTGAACCTGTCAACATAGATTATATCTCAACATCAAGAAAAGAAAAATGATCAACACTGGACAACATTTTGGACAAGATTTTGATAGATACATAAAAATTGACGTTGTCAATGATTTCATTTTACTGGGATCCACAATTAATACTCATGCAGTTAAGAAATCAAAAGATGCTGTCCAGGACTTCTCCATAGTTCTTAAGAGCAAACATGTCAGTTTAAAGACTAAAGTGTATCTGATCTAAGCTATAGTCTTTTCAATTGCTTCCAATGCATCTGAAAGTTGGACAATGAGGCTGGACAATGAAAACTGATGCCTCTGAATTGCGGTGTTGGAAAACAGTACTGAATAGCTTATGTGTTGCCAAAAATAACAAAAAAATCTGTCTTAAGAAAATGCAACAAATTTACTCCTCAAAGGCAAGAATGGTGAAACATTGTCCCACATACTTTAGACATGTTGTGAGGAAGGGGCTGTTGCTGGGAGGAGCTAGTCCTTAGGAAAAGGCAGCATGCTGGGAAAGATAAAATGTCAGAATGTTAATTAACAATTTCGACTTGATCTGTTCCACAATCAACATTCCTTGTAGCAGCAGTAAGGGAATAAAAAGATGAATTGCATTAGGAAAATCTGCTGTCAGGGAGCTCTTCAGAGTGCTGCAGAGCAAGGATGTCCATCTAGAGACTAAGGTGTTCCTGATCCAGGCCATGATCTTTGTCATTACCTCTTATGCATGAAAGAACTGGACAATGACCAAAGAAGACAGAAGAATAATTCATGCCTTTGAGTTGTGATGCTGAAGAAGAATATTGAACATACCATGGAGCACCAAGAGAACAAACAAGTCTGTACTGGAGAGGATGAAGCAAAGCTTTCCCTTGGAGGCAAGGATTTTGAGATTCCATCTCACATATTTTGGGCATGTTACCAGGTAGGAACAACCCTTGGGGAAGAACATCAGGTTTTGAAGGGTGGAGGGATAGCCCAGGAGAGGAAGATGACTTGAATTGACATAGTAACTAGGGTAATGAGAGTAGATCTGTGAGTTTGGCCTAAGATAGAGCATGGTTCACAGCTATTGTGCATAAGGTAGTTATGAGTAGTGGTCAGCTCGACAGCACACAACAACAACAAGCTTCTGGCATTTTGTTTCATGATTTCTGAAGTCTCTGACTGCTAATATAGGCTTTGTCTAAAAGAACTTTATTCCATAGAGCTCACTAATTACTAACACCAGACTTAGAAATTCTGTTCAAATTAATTCTATCCCCCTTCCCACTACTCACACCATCTCACCTAAAATACTGAGAGAAACATACCATCACATTTCTATTTCAACCCAGGAGAAACAGATACACTTAAGGAGAAAGGGCCTGCATCTTCACCAATTGGATGGGGCCAGTTTCTGGGAAGTTGGTGCTCTACTCACACGTTTCATGACTAGCAGGAATCCTCAAGGTAGACTTTGGAGACTTCCCCATAGAATTATAAGAAATCACTGACACCCAGTACACCTTGTTCCCCAGATGAAGTGTAAGTTGCTGATGAGTTGTATTCCTTGTCTCTGTGAGATTCGTGTTGTTTTCTGGAAAGTACCATATGTTGTAGCCAACTGGTTTTCCCCAAACTGGGGCTCCTTTTGCCTCCTGAAGGCAAAAGAAACAATGTTTATTGCCAACAGTCAAAGAATAAAAACATCAAGAAAGACATTGTGATGAGTGATATCAACTGCTAAGAATTAGATGGCAATTGAGGATGAATAATAGCATATCCTCTGTACTGCAGTATTAAATCTCTCAAAGGGTAGTGGAGGGGATTTAGTAAATGACACATTGCTATCAACTCTCCTAGAAACCTAATTCTATGAGGCCAAACTAGGGAAATTCCAAGTGAAACGGGGCCAAACCACCCCATTTCCTTCTGGCTCTGCTTCTCTCAGAATCCCACATGAGCAGAGAGGGAGGGGTGCAAACAAAAACTGAGACATTCTGCCTCAATCAATCCCAGCTTTGGTTTGGTTCTGGGTCAGCTCCTACCTATAAATAATGCAAACAACTTGGAGAGTATCTCAGTTTTTTCTTTCCTCTTCATGCTTTTTTTAAAAAAAAATAATTTTTTTATACTGGTTTACTTACAAAGTTCATATACATTGTTTTTTATACCGGGTCTTTCCCATTTCCTTTATCCATCCCTCCCTCCACCCATAAAATTGTGCAACCCTATGATTAATCACACACACACTCCCAGCCCCCCACCCCACACCCTCCACTCCCCCCCCCCACCCCACACTCCACACCCCACCCCTGTCTGCACTCATCCTCACCCATCTGTTCCCACCCTCCTCCCCTTGGATTCTTTCACACATTCTACAATAATGGTCTTATACAGTATTTGTCCATGTGGGACTGAGTTAGTTCACTCAGCAGAATGCTCTCCAGTCCCTCCCAAGTTAGGCAGTAATTTTCAAAATCATTGTGCCTGCATGTTGGGTAGTATTATTCCATTGTGTGACTGTGCCTTAATTTCTCAGTCCATTCATTTGTGGTTGGACATTTGGGCTGTTTCCATGTTTTTGCAATGGTGAATAACACTGCTCTGAACACTGGTGTACAAGTCTCCGTTTGTGCCTCAGTTCTCATCTCTGCACACTTGCTCTATGCAGGAGCCTTGCTGAAGCTCAGGACTCACACGAGAAGCAGAAAAGCCATTGTCTCAGCCCTGGAACAAGCCCCTCAAGCAGCCAAGTAAAAGGACTATCACATTCAGGGTGTTGTTGCTCCCACACCCTTAATAAGAAGACAGAGGAGGTCACCCCAGGGGGATCAAGAGAAATTCTTGTTTTTCAGCCTGGAAAGTGAGTTTTCAGATCATTAAACTGATAGATTTTTTTACCAGTGGAGTGTTTTCCTGGAATGACATAATTTCCCAGTTGTTCGTTCTCTGTTCTAGATGACTTTCAAAGATGGTGCTGAATCACCAACTAGAGAGAACTCAAGAAGTCACTTAATCCATTGCTCTCCCAGCAAGGGGATTTCATTCACAGATCCATGGCTTCAAATGATATTGGACAGAACTGGAGACTACTTTCAAAACAGTGTTCCTGCTTCCTGAACCCGAGACGCTATCTATTTGAGCATTGTACTGCCTCGTAGGGTTTTCTGTAATGAGGAAGATGTTTCCTAATTGTGCTTTTTTACGGTGGCCATTAAAGAGATACATATGACTATGGTGCACTTGGCAGAAAGGGAGAAGCTACCCTAGGTCAGCTCATAATTTGATTTCTCAAGATAACCTATTATCCATTTCTCATTCTTTCCCTTCTGGACTCCCTGCTATCCCTACTCCAATACTTTCAAAGAGATAAAAATTCCTATAACTTATCATTCAATTTTTTCAAGTATATAAGTCAGTGGATTTTAATCCAGGGTTGTGCATCCATCATCATGATCTAATTTAGAATACTTTGGCTCATGCGTTTTAAAAGTACCTTCAGTTCTTAAGGACACATCCAAGCAAAGCACGTTACCTCCCTTTCTTCTGGCTGTGCTTCTCTCTCTGTTGCATCATGTGCACACGAAAGCTGGACAGTTAATAAGGAAAACAGAAGACAAACGGATGCCTTTGAATTGTGGTGCTGATGGAGAAAATGGAACATACCATGGACTGCCAAAAGAACAGACAAATCTGTCTTGTGAGAAATGCAGCCAGAACACGTAGAAGCAAGGATGGGGAACACATCTCGCATACTTTGGGCATGTTCTCATGGGGAGGGGAAGCACAGGAAAAGGATATCATGCTTCGCAAAGTAGAGGGTCAGCTAAAAAAGAGAAAGACTCTCAAGGAGACGGATTAATACAATGAATGCAATAATGGGCTCAAGCAGAGCATTGATTAGTGAGGACCATGCAGAACTGGGCTTTTTATTCTGTTCTGCCTGGGGTCACTTGAGTCAGAACCAACCCAACAACACTTAACAACAACAGCAACAACAACATATTTTAGAGCACTTTCATGTTGAGGCAAAAGAAAGATCAGTTCCAAGGTAAGGGAGAGAAGAAGAGTACTTAAGTGCATCTTTCCTACTTCACAGTTTGGCTACTCAATCCTTACGTGCCACTGTGTGGCTAAGATCATGTGTGAGCATGTGGCATTACTACTCATCTTTCATAGGACAATGTGTTGACAGAGTCCTCCGTTCCCCCTGTGTTAAGTGAGAAAGAATCTGTAACACCTTACACTAACTCTCAATGATTTCCCAACACACTTGGTATGTGCTTCTTCTCACTGTCTGCAACCTATAGGTGTCCATGGCTCTGGAGACACACACAGAAGTTGATGAGCAAAGGCAGACAGAGGCATGCTCTAGTCCTGAAGTTATTAAGACTAGAATGCAATTTGACAAGGTGAGGCTATTCCTTCATTTACAGATGGATTTAAAACTTGCCTAGACATTACAGCAAGTAGGAGATAATGTTTCCTGAAAAATTTTATAGTTATTGTTGTTGTTTTGTGATCATAATGACCCTGTGTACAGTAACTCTGAACCCTGTCCTATCCTAGCCAGTCTCTCTGACAGACCTACCCCGTTACCCCAGTTACTGTGTCAATTCATTTCATCCAGGGTCTTCCTTTCTTACACTGTTCCTACACACTTCCAAGCATGATATTATTCTCCAAGAACCTGTCCCTCCTGGTAACATGTCCAAAGTATGTCAGACGAAGCCCCAGAATCCTTGCCTCCAAGGAGCAGCTTGGTTTAATCCTATCTAGGATAGACCTGTTTGTTCTCTTGGTGGTCCATGGTATGTTCACTACTCTTCTCCAGCTCCACAACTCAAAGGCATTGATTCTTCTTCTATCATCCTTGGTCATTGTCCAGCTCTCTGATTCATAGCAAGCAATTGCAAAGACCATGGTCTGGATCAGGAGCACCTAAGTACCTAGACTGACATCCTTGCTCTTTAGTACTTGACATCAGATTTGCATAATGCAATTTGTCTTTTGATTTTCTTACTGCTGGTAACAAGAATGTTGGTTGGGAAACCAATCAAGCTGAAGCTGTTAACAACTTCAATCTCTTCTTCATCTATCATGGTGCTGCCAACTGGCCCTGTAGTGAGAATCTTTGTCTTCTTGATGCTGAGCTTCAATTCATATTGAAGACTACAGTCCTTGATCTTCTGCAGCAAGTGTTTCAGGTCCTCTTCACTTTCAGCAAGCAAGGTTGTGTCATCTTCATAATGTAGGTTGCTGATGAGTCTTCCTTCAAATCTAATGCCACATTGTTCCCCATAAAGTCCAGCCTCCGAAATGATCTGTTCCACATATAGATTGAAAATGTATGGAGACAAAATGCATCCCTGACATACTCCTTTGCTGATTTTTGAATCACTAAGTGTTTCCTTGTCCTGTTCAGACAACTGTTTCCTGGTCCAAGTATAGGTTTTGCATGAGCACAATTAAGGGTTCTGGGATTCTCATTTTCCTCAAGATTAGCCACAATTTGTTGTGATCCACACAGTCAAATGCCTTTACATAATAAAGAAAGAATAGACATTCCTCTGTTACTCTCTACTTTTAGCCAAGATTCATCTAACGTTGATTATAATATCCCTATATTGCCAGAATATCTTCTAAATCAGGCTTGTATTTCTAGTAGTTTTCTGTTAAAGTACTGGTCATTTTTTTTTATAATCTTTAGCAGGTTTTTGCTTGTGTTTTATGTTAGTGATATTGTTCAATAATTTCCACACTCTGTGAGGTCACCTTTATTTTTGAATGGGAATAAATATGAATCTCTTTTAGTCAGTTGGCCAGGTAGCTGTCCTCCGGATCTCTTGACATACCTGGTGAGCACATTTAGGGTAGCATCAATTTGTTGAAATACGTATGCCATCAATTACTTGGGGCCTTTCCCTCCTCTGATTCTTTCAGAATAGCTTGAACTTCCTCCTTCATCACCATTGCCTCTTGATCATATATTGTTTCATGAAATTCTTCTGTGTCAGCCAAGTCTTTTTGGTTCAGTGACTGTGTGCTCCTGCTTCCTCATTTCATGACTCATTTGATATTACTCTCTCTTCCTTTTTTTAGATATCATTTCCTTATGTCTCATCTTCTCCTCTCCTCTTCTCTCCTCTCCTCCCCTCTCCTCTCTTCTCTTTTCTTCTCTGTGTGACCCAATCATTATCTCCTTTGTTGCCTATTGCCAGGTTTCCACTTTAGACAGAACCACTGGGATCTTCTTCTGGATGTGCTGGTGTGCTTGTGCTCATACACAGACACAATAATGAGTTGAGCTCTAGTCAGTGCTATTCTCAGGTTTAGGGTCAGGGTTACAGAATGTCATATGCCCTTACAGCAGAGCACACCTAGGTTTTCTCCAGAAGGCTGATGTTCTCTCCTGCACTTGTCATCCGTCTTTCCCCAACTGCTAATGTCTCAGGTTAAAGAAAGAAGTCACTCAGGATCTGCAATGCAAGCCTTGTGTAGCTATTGTAGTTTGGGCAGCCTAGATAATAGTTGGGTATTATAAGGTATGGAAAGAAAGGAAAAATGAAGAGGTGAAAGCCCAAGCTTTTAAAAGTGTATAGACAAAAAAAAAAGTGTATAGACCAAAGGTGGTGGTTGTTATTTTGGGTTTGTTTTTTTTTTATAACTAGACAAATGAACTAATTAAAGCCCAGAGGGAGGTCACCTTCCATAGCAAGTGCACTGGTCTTGTTCCATTTGCCTTAGCTGGTCCCAGGATTCCCCATAGATCCAGGCGATTTGGAGCTGTAAGGAACAAAAGGGAGGCACTCAACTCAGATGGAAGTGAGTTACAACAGGAGAGAAGGCAAGTTAGTGGGGCGGCTTTTAGAAAACTCAGTTGGGAAGCATTCTTTTGAGGGAGTCAGCAGGTAGAAGGTAGGGCAATAATCAAAGAATTGGAATCAACTAATGGTTAAAAAAGAAAAACTACACTAGAGTCTGATAAGATAAGAAAGTGCAAAGGATCCTATTGCAATATAATTTATCGTACTAATTCAGATTTTAAGTATGACTCATGTTCTCCAGATATAAAAGCTAGGGAGCTCTGATGGCTTAGTGGTACATAGTTGCACTGCCAATCCAAAGGCACTCAGTTGGAATCCACCAGCTGCTCTACCAGAGTAAGATGAGCAATCTCCCTCCATATGATTTCTTGCCTCTGAAAACACTCTGGAGAGTCCACTGTGGATCAGTTCCAACTCAAATGTACATATAACCTAACAGATGATAAAAGCTGGAAATAAGGCAGAAAAGTTGTACACATATACATAACCTCTATATCTATGAGATATATATATATCTATATATCTGTGAGATATAGATCTATATATCTGTGAGATATAGATCTGTGAAATATATACCTGTGAGATTTTATATATATATATAATATCCATCTCCATCTTCATCTCTGGTGGCACTAGCTGCAATCCCAAAAGTATGCGGCTCAAGGCCACCAGCTGCTCCATGAGAGAAGGGTGGGCCCTCTCCTAGTGGGCAATTAACTGCCTCTGAAAACCCACTGGAGGGTCAGCTGTGGGTCGGTTCTGACTCGACAGTATATCTATCGTGGCCTAGTGGCAAGAAGCTGTGCTGCGATCCCTAAGGCACATGGTTCAAGGCCATCAGCTGTTCCTCAGGAGAAGGATAGGCAATCTTATCCCATATGATTAACTGCCTCTGAAAACCTGCTGGAGGCTCAGGTATGGGTCAGTTCTGACTCTACAGTACACAACTGCAACAGTGTGTGTGTGTGTGTGTGTGTGTGTGTGTGTGTGTGTGTGTGACAGGTATGTTTGTTGTTGTTATGTGCTGTCAAGTCGCCTGTGACTCATACAAAAGCTCTAAACTGCTCTATCCCATGCCAATCTCACTGCCTCCAACACATCTACCCCAATTACCCCAGTCACTGAATCAACCCATCTTATAGAGTGTCTTCCTCTCCTGCTCTGTCCCTCTACCCTCCCAAGAATTACAACCCTTTCCAGGGACTGTTCTCTCCCTGCAACATGTCCAAAATATGTCAGATGAAGCTTCAGAATCCTTGCCTCCAAGGAGCAGCCTCGTTTAACCCTCTTTAGGACATACCTGTTCGTTCTCTTAGCAGTCCATAGCATATTCAATACTCTTCTCCAACACCACAGCTTAAAAGCATCAACTCTCCTTCTATTGTCACAAGTATAGGGAATATATATATATACACTCTGGTGGCCTATCCACTGCAATCCTAAAGTCACTTGGTTCTAATCCATCAACTGCTCTGTTGGAGAAAGATGGTCAATCACCTACCTTGGGATTTACTGCCTCTAAAAACCTGCTTGAGAGTCAGCTATAACTATGAGTTAGTTCCAATTTGATAGCACATAACAACATATATATGTGTGTG